CTACATCATAATGCTTTACTTGATTCATTATCATTTGCATGCTTGAATGTTGTTTTGATCCATATTTCTTCATGTTGTATTTTGATGCTAAAATTGATCGGAGGGCGGAGGCATATAAGTTAAGCAAAGGAATACAATTGCATTGAAAATGAAATCCACAAATGCATGAAAATACAAGTCGCGAGCGCGCCTTGCAAGGTCGCGAGCACGTAAGTGCAAAAATGAGAGACAGTATGTTATCGGGCACAAGTCGCGAGCGCGTACTTGAAAGTCGCGAGCGCGTAGTGTGCCAATTGAGAGTCAGAAAGTTATCGGGCACAAGTTGTGAGCGCGCACTGAATGTCGCGAGCGCGAGTGAGTCTCAGGTGAAAGTCGCGAGCGCGCACATGAAGGTCGCGATCGCGTAATGTGCAAAATGAGAGTCAGTGAGTTTCAAGTGAAAGTCGCGAGCGCGCAAGATGAAAGTCGCGGTCGAAGTCGCGAGCGCGCGATTGAAAGTCGCGGTCGCTTATAATGCAAAATAAGAGACAGTGAGTTTCAAGCACAAGTCGCGAGCGCGCTAGTGCAAATCGCGAGCGCGCGACGTGTTTTCTCAGCCTGTGCAGTGCCAGGTCGCGAACGCGCGACGCGTTTCCAACCTGCACAGCCTATACTCTTTTGATCATATCTCTCAATATACAACTCCAAATTGGACGATTCAAAGACCCATGTAAAGCTAACACATAGAGGAACAAATAACTCTTCTATGACACTTCCGAATTCCATCATTAACTGGGGTCAAAATCAAGATGAAGTTACTGGTAAAATTTCCAGCAACCCCTGTTTCAGCATAACTCCATCTTTATTTCACTTATTCAATACCTCCCCTGTTTTCTCTGTTTCTCACCCATTACCAGGTCCTTCCACTCACATTGAAACAACACATGGTTCTCCATTATCAAACACCACCACACACTTCTCATTGCAAAGAAAATGGTTAAAAGAAAAGAGATGTATCAAACCTTTAACACCTTCACTCCAAAAAGCTTGAGCTCTTCTTTTTAGCTTCCTTCTACCTTTGGCTCACCTCTCCTATACATAAGAATTATTATGAATACTCTAAAAATATCACCAAATGATTCAATTATAAAATTCAAGAAGGTTTACTTACTTGGATAGAATAGAAGTTGAATTAATGCTTAACTCCCATTAATGGAGATAACGAAGAAGAAGATGGAGAAAAGGTGGAAGAGTAAAGTAGATGAAGGAGATGAAGATAAGGATGAAGAAATGAAAATGAAATGGAACTCATGGGTACATCTCCAAAATATCAAAGTCAACATGTTGCCCACTTAATACCCAAGCTTGATCTCTTAGTGGCAATTAAATCCTAACCCTTATACTTTGATCTTTTTCTCTCATTCAAGTAAGTCCACTTTTTCTCTCATTCAAGTAAGTCCACTTATCAACCCATTCTACCCCAACCGGGTTTGGTTCAACTCGACTCAACTCGACTCTATGCAAAGACTCGACTCGGGAATGTCACACAATAACCACCACCTCTGAGGTCTTTTTTTTATTATTATTTAAAACCTAACACACAACATATTTTGAATCAGATTTAACAATTAATGGTGAGAGTTTGAACTGAGATTGAGAATACAATTCTATAACCATGAAAATTACTCTTAGTTCAGCTTCATTACAGTCAATAATGCCACATGATTGAAAAAATATACACTTTACCTCACCTTTATTATTCCTTAGCACACCACCGAAACCAGCAGGACCTGATTTTCCTCTTGAAGCTCCATCAACATTGAACTTATATCTGTTACAAGTAGGAGGTTCCCAAACCAGCTAAGTTTTCAAACTGGATTTTGGTTTCTTAATGCCAACTCTATCACAAGACACAATTTGAGGGTCACAGTACCAATCCCTTACATCATAGAAAATAGAAGGAAACTTAGCTTTTAAACATTCGAAACTTATCAATTTTATGCTATCTACAACTTCAATACCACTGAAAATTTCCTATTTCTCCTAAGCCACAAAGTCCATGAACTAACAAAAAAAAAAAAAATCAAAATCCAAGTTGCCTTATACTCGTTACTTTTCAATAAACTTTCCCATTGCCAGCCTAATTGGACAAACGTCTTAGACAAAACTGCAGAAACATTCGACCATCTGAAAATTGAGTTCCAAATATTTCGTACTAAATCACAAGCTAGCAAACAATGATCCGTCAATTCATTATCCTTCTCACATAAAGCAAAAAGGTATTCTCATTATTTGGTAATAATTTACATTTTAGTATATTAGTCTTGCAATAAATTCTATCAAGATATGTTTTCCAAACAAATATTGCTACTTTAGAAGGAATTAAAGGAGCCCATAAAGATTTTAAATTGAAACTCACCTCAGAATGTCCAGCCACAGTTAAGTCTAATAAAGAGTAAAAAATTTTTACATAAAATTCACCTTTAAGATCATGCATTCAAGCTATTCTATACTCACCTTGTTGGAATATTGAAATAGACAGTAATAGAGTTTCTAGTTACTACCATTGATCCTCTTCAAAGGATCGTAACTCCCTTAACCACTCTAGCTTCCAATGACACACACCGTTAAAGAAGAAACCTTACAAAAGCTTTCTTGTTGGAAGTCAATCTAAATAATCTGTGAAAGCTAGCTTTAAGTGATATATCATCTACCTAAATGTCATGCCGGAATTGTATTTGTGAATCATCTCCAAGAATCCAACAAAAACCTTTGGTTAAAAATCCAGCTGCTGGATTTTATTGGGACCCAATGTCTACCGCATCTTTTCAACAAGGAGAAATTCGTTTCCAAGCTGAAGAATCTATACTTGATTTTAATGATGTATCTAGTCTGTATATGGAAACTAGAATTCATTTCCATAAAAAAAAAAATTTCTACTTTAAATCTCCACCACCACTTACCCAAGAGCTGTATTCTTTCTTTTGAAGACGGGTACTCCTAAGCCTCCATGACTTTTATTTTTGGTTACAGTATCCTAGGCTACCCAATCAAGCGGTTTTGCCCCTTCAATCCCTTTCCCATAAAAAGATTCTCTGGATAGATTCAATCTTTTGAATTACTTTCTGAGGAGCTCTAAAGACAGTCATGTAATATAGTGGAAGCAAAAACACAACTGAGTTTAATAAAATTAACTTTCCTCCCATTAAAAAGTGTTTAGCTTTCCATTGGGAAAGCTTAGATTCCACCTTCTCAATAACAAGATTCCATGTAGAGAGATGTTTTGGATTAGCACCTATAGGAATCCCTAGGTAATGAGTTGGCATAGAACTAGGAAAAAACTTCAAAATCCGAGCGAAGCAACCAAGATCATCTTTTGAGACATTAACACCGAATAATCTGCTTTTTGAAAAATTTATTTTTAAGGCCCGATAATATTTGATAACGGTTTAGCACCCTTTACAAATTGCACAATTCATTTACATCTACCTGATTAAAAACAACAGAGTCGTCCGCAAATTGCAAATGAGAAATAGTGATAGAATCAGCTCCTACTTGAACAACAGAGTCGTCCGCAAATTGCAAATGAGAAATAGTGATAGAATCAGCTCCTACTTGAACTCGAGAAAGTATAATGTTCCTGATAGAATTCCTTATCAAAAGGTTGAAGCATTTAGCCATAATAAGAAACAGAAAAGGGGACAATGGGTCCCCTTGTTTTAGACCTCATGACATTTGAAATTCATTGGTAGGAAATCCACTGACTAGAATCAATAATTTAGAGAATCGACGACACTCATTAATCCAACCACACCATCTGTTTTTGAACCCCATTTTTCTCATCATAGAAAGCAAAAAATTCCAATCAACTGAATCGTAAGCATTTTCAAAATCTGTTTTAGAAATGATTCTAGATGCTTTTTTTAGTTTCAATTCATGAATAACTTCATTTGCAATGAGAATCCCATTTGAAATTTGTCCACTGCCAATGAAACCAGATTGGCTTTCATTTATTATTTTGCCCATAATTTTCTTCATTTTAAGAGCCATCAGTTTAGCAAGAATCTTACATAAACTCCCGATCAAAGATATTGGCCGAAATTCATTTAGTCCCATAGGGAAGGATTTCAAGACATTATAACGTCTAATTTTTAACTTTTATTTATTTAACTTTAATTTATAAAAGTTAAAAATTAATGTGTGTGGACTTCTCATTTATGTCTGTATGTCAATCAAATGGTGGTCTGTTTGGTTTTCTCATTTATGTGAGGAATGAGAGGTATCGAGTTTGAATTTTCACCAATTTGGTGAGCTAAAGGGAGGATTAACCCCCTTGTATAGCCCGTAGTTTTATCTTTTAAATTACTGTTTCTAAATTATTATAAAAAAGTATCAATTATTTCTATTATATTAAATTTAGATATAAAAAGTAAAATCAATATTTTTAAAATTTTAAATATTCATCAATTTATGAATAAATATAAAAGTTAATTATTTGTTATAATAAAAAAATTTTCAATAGCATACCAAAATATAATCTAATGATAAGTGCATTTACGACCTGACAAATAAAATTCAATAAAAAATTATAAATTAAAAACTTAACAAAGTAATTCAATGTTAATTATTATCAAATAATATGTAAATATCGACGCGCGAAGCAGAGAATTATAACTAGAGAAGGATAATTTTAAGGTTGTAGTCTTTTGAGAGTCAATTACCAAAAATCCTTTTTTTTTTTTTTTTTTTTATTTTTTTTTTTTTTTTTTTTTAATTCCAGGAGGGTCCATTGTGCCCCTGGCCCTACCGTGAATCCATGGTAACATGTTTTTTCCCCTTAACTCCTTTCTTTCCCCTTTTCCACCCTCCAAATTTACTTTAGGATATCATTGTAAATGTACATCCTAGTAAATGTAAATATATATATCTTCCATTCATATATACATTTACTATTAGACTATGCTTTTGGTGTGCAATACAATAAAAAAAGAGAAAATCATAAGACAGAAGAGAAAAACCTCTACACACATAATTAATTCTCATGATTTCTGCAAAAATTACCCAAGAACCAACATATTTTTATAATGGAAACAAAAAAAATAATAATAATAAAAATAAAAAAAAATAAAAATACAAATCTTCCTATCTATCTCCTTGAATATACATACTTAATGAAGTCATTATTCATCGATTATATTCCTTCCTTACTCCAATTTAACATCATAAAGATCCTTAAGAAGCCTGCTTGATGAATGGTCTTGTGACACATCATTACTTGGCAAAGAAATTGACGAATCTACCCATGGTCCATCCATCGATATGCTTCTTTGAGCTTGACTATCTTGAGAGAAACTGGATATGTGAGTTTGGCTGTCCTGTGAGAGAATCTCAAAGGCTTTAAATCTTGCATCCTGGTCTACTGAACCGCGCTTGATTATCGGAGCTTGTACTGGAATTTTTCCCTCCACCATACTCACTACAGAAGACATGGATGGCCTTAGTGTTGGAGATGGATTAGTGCATAATAGAGCCAGATTAAGCACTCTCTTTGCCTCTTCTTTTGAGTAGTCTGATCCTAGACTCGGGTCCATTAGTTCTAGAAGGTTTCCTTGCTCTTGTAGCACATAGGCCTTCATTTTGCATGATAAAAGTACATAAAGGTTAGGTATGTTGTGCATAGAGCAATAATAGATTACTAAATTTGCATACAACAATTAACTTAAGGATGCAAAAAATGAATATATCAAGGCACAATTGGGTTTAACTTCTGGCCTTACGCTCGTGATATAGTACTTGTGCAAGAGCGCTTACAGCAGCTCGTAGCTATTGTATGCATGGGAGTGTGAAGAGCACTGGTATGGCCTTAGAGGCTCTAGCTTTGTTTTTTTTTTTTTTTTTTTTTTTTTTTTTTTTTTTTTTTTTAAGAGCGCTTCAGCAGCTCATAGCTATTGTATGCATGGGAGTGTGAAGAGCACTGGCATGGTCTTAGAGGCTCTAGCTTTGTTTTTGTTTTTTTTTTTTTTAAAAAAAAAAAAAAAAAAAAAAACTATTGGTGCAATTTTTTTTTTTTTTTTTTTTAAAAAAAAAAAAAAAAAAAAAAAAACTATTTGTGCAAAATTTTACTTCACATGTAAAAAGTAAAAAAGAAAAAAGGATTTCTTATCAAACACTGGTTTTGCCTAGTGTGCTTTCAACAAAAAGCAAAAGAAAAGAACAATAGGGAATCTATAATCCCTTGTTAGTATTAATGAAATTGAAGTATAAAATTCATTACAAATGTTGGAATTTGGTTAAGAATGTTGAATTCCTTGAAATTAAATTCCCGACAGAGAAATGAACATTTTATTCTATACCAAACAAAGCATAAAGGAACTTAAGCTGGAAGAGTGGTTTCTGAATTTGAATTTGCAAAATCGTATAGGATTTCAAGACTACACACTGCAATTTCAACTTCATCGAGCCATGTTCAGTATAAGGTATCCACTTTTTTCTTTAAAAGGAAATTTATATGCACTGAAAGGTTCTTCAAGTTTCCTTGACTTTTCTAGCAGTCATGCTCATGTTTGTGCAGTGTAAGTGGTGTATGATAAAGCAGTGTACAAAGGAGAAATGGAATAAATATATTACCCAATCAAGAAGATAAACAAACTCCTCTTTTGGTCTGTAATTGGTGTTGCTTTTCCCACTGACAATTTCCAAAGCAACAACTCCAAAGCTGTAAACATCTGCTTTATCTGTCAAGTAACCCCTCATTGCATATTCTGGAGCCATGTACCCTCTGCAGAATCAAGTACAGACAGAATGTTAAGAAATTCTTTTTTTTTTTTTACAGATTCAGAAAAAGTAAAACTTGATTTAAGCATGCATTTTACAATTTCTCAAGTACTGCATTTTATATCCATTCTATAATCTGTATACCCAGAAGAGGAACTCACATTGTTCCAGCTATTCGTGTACTGATATGAGTGTTCTCTTCTTCATCAAGCTTAGCCAAACCAAAGTCTGATATCTTAGCATTTAGTTCCATATCAAGAAGTACATTAGTAGCCTTTATGTCTCTATGTACAATTTTCAGTCTCGATTCCTCATGCAGATAAGCTAATCCCTTTGCAATACCCAACAGTATCTTCTTTCTTGTTGGCCAGTCTAATTGGAGCCTTCGCTCCTCGGGACCTGATATAGGAGGGGAATCAGTTCAGTCAAAATTTTCATTCTAGAATTTTCAAAATATGGAAATAAGACAGCAGTGATTCCATTACCAAAAAGTGCACGAGCAAGACTGTTGTTTTCCAAGTATTCATAAACTAACAACAGTTGGTTTCCCTCAATGCAGCAGCCATAAAGCCTCACAAGATTAGGATGCTGCAAGGCAGATATCATGCCTATCTCATTCACAAATTCACGGTTCCCTTGTTTTGATTTGGAAGAGAGCTGCTTAACAGCGATGACCACACCATCAGAGAGCACACCCTGAAATCAAGCAGGTTAAGGTTCCAGAATGCCTTGTCATTTCAGAATAACAAATTTCATGCATGTGTCAATAATAATACTTTTTGAAAAAATGGGTACAATTGGCACTACATTCAAAATTAGGAAAAATAGTGCATTTTGTGAGTTTTTAGTATAATTGGAATTTTTGGAAAAGTTCTGGGATTTTTAGGCCTAATAAATATCATGCAGGGTAAGCTATTATAAGAGTGTAAGCAGCTCATAAACAATCAAACAATAAATGTAGAAATTTGTAATTACCTTGTACACTGGCCCAAAACCTCCCTCTCCAATCTTATTTGCTGCATCAAAATTGTTGGTAGCATGTTTAATTTGTCTTAAAGTGAAATAACCAGTTTGGAGATCTAATCCACGAAGTTCTGCAATTAGAGCAGAATCTTAAATCAGGCAACTACAATAAAATTTCATTTGCATCGAAAAAGAACTGCCACACAATGTCCAACATTTGCATACTTCTTGTGCAATTAACCTTACCTTTATCTACAGGTTCTTTCCCTCCCAAGTAACCTTTCAGTCGGAGGACTATCAAGATTAACATGATTAGTACCAAGGAAGCAGCTACAATGCCAACAATAGCCCCAGCAGATAAGCCCCCACCATCATCAACCTCAAAGTCTATAAGGAGAGAATTTCCGTGAATGCCAAGTTCATTTGTCAGGTAAATAATCCTTCAACTCAAAATGAACTTACTTGGTGTCACTGTAATGGCTGATATAAGAGGTCCATAGACACCTCTATCTGGAACTGCAGTGGTACCTTTGCCTGACCAGTACAAATGTATCTCTAAAGTGGTACCATTAACAAATACATTATCAAATTCCTTGAAAATGCCAATGCCAGGTCCTCCAGCTTTCTCCATGATGTTGAAATCCTTCAAAACTACATTTCCCTGCAGGAAAGAAGTTAAATGAAAAATTTACAAGTTTTGACTAATAAACATCCTCTTTGCAATCGTAGCTAGTTATAGTGAGGATATAGATGCAATCTACAAAAATTCTTAAGACAATGCTAAAATTATGAAAATCAAACTCACTTGAATTGATACATCAAATATGCGCCTTCCAAGGCTACTAAATGTCTGATCATCAGAATACATAATTTCAGCAAAGTGAAGCCGCACTTTATAGCTGCCCTGTCGCATACACAGGCCATAGTACTTGAGTGATATAGGAGCAAGGCGGGCAGAAGTGTAAAAGTCAGCACCAGTCACATTTAGATTAAAACTGTTTCTTGCTAAGAAGTCAGCACTGTCATTGCCCATAAAAACTCCAGTACTGCTGTAAGCCCATTTTTCTGATGCATGAATAAAAGTAGATGCCCCTCCAAGTGCTAAGTCTTCTTCATAGTCATTATTCTCAAAGGTCATCCTACGTCCCCCACAGTTTATAAATAAGGAATAATCTGCAGATACGACCAATTTATTGGTAAATATTTTCACAAGATTATCAAGTATTTCAACTCATAGGTAAAAGTGATATTTAGCAATCACATACGTTGGGGTTTTCCAGAGCAGGTAAGGTCCCTTCTGAAGCACCAAGAATTCCTACAACAAATGATATTTTGATTGTCAATAAATCATATTTCTTGATTGTCAATAAATCGCATTTCCAATGTGTTTCATTTAGGAGTCTTTAATGATATGCATAGAACTTACGCATTGTTATCAGAAGATGAAAAGCCAGAAACCAAGTTCCTGCAACATATTATAATTAGTTAGTAAATACCATGAAAGAAAGGAGGAAAAAAGGACAAGAAGGAAACGAAATGATAGTTACACTTGTGTCTGCTGGCAACCTAACGGAATTGAACCCATAAATTTGTTGTAAGATAAATCCCTGAAATGGTATGTCAAGTCAAAATTAATAAAAATTCTTGATTTACAAGAGCTAAAGAAATGATAGGATTACTAAATGTATGGTTGGCCATGGGCCCATTCTGGTTCCGAACCAGTAGTTCCGATTTATGAAATCCCCTGAATTGTAACCGAACCAGCTTGGCCTTGTCTCTGGTTCGGAACAGACCTTTGACCAAAATCTAACTGAATAAGAAGTAACAATTAACTACTTGCAAGACAAAATGATAAAATATGTCTACAGCTTCATGTAAGACTCACAAGTTCTTCTTGCTGCTCAATATCCAACCAGGTATGGCTCCAGTCAGTGAGTTATTAGTTAGAAACCTACAAGGATTGAGATTACAGAGGTTATTAGAAAAGAAAATTCTGATTTAGAGAGATTGTTCCTTTCAATGTGTTGCAACTTATTTTGCATGATTTACATGTAATCTAGATCTGCTGAACTCTGACTAAATCTCTGGAATGTGTTTGGAATTGGACCTGTCAACCTATTGAAGCTAAGGTCTCTGCAATTTATAAAAAAAAAAAAAAAAAAAAAAAAAAAGTCAACCCTATTGAAGCTAAGGTCTCTGCAATTTATAAAAAAAAAAAAAAAAAAAAAAAAAAAGAAGAAAGAAAAAAAGGAAACCATAAGCAATAGCATTAAAAAAAAAAAAAAAAAAAAAAAAAAGAAGAAAGAAAAAAGGAAACCATAAGCAATAGCATTATAGATAGTTAATTACCCATAAAAAGATTTTGGTTTGAGCAACTTACAATTGTTTTATGGTTGTCATTTCTCCGATGTAAGGTGGTATTGAACCAGTGATTAAGCAATTTCTCAGTATCCTAAGTCACAAAAAGGTAAACAGCAACAATAATTAGCACAATTCCAAAATGAACAACATAGGCTTCAAGAAGATATTTAAAGAGTATAGTCGACTCACAATCTCTCCAATTTTGCCATTTGTCTAAGATCAGGGAAATCTGAACTTGATCCACTCAAATCAGAAATTCTCCTGGAAAACAAGCAGAAAATCATTTTTTCCATCCACATAGACTTTCATAATTTTAACAAAACAAAAAAAAAAAATTATTAAATAAGAGAAACTTTTGCTCACAATTCAGTTAAGTTTGTCAACAGTGATATGTTAGAAGGAATAGGACCCTCCATAGATGTTCCTTGCAAATTTCTTCAAAAGAAATAAATTGTCATTGGCTATGCAAGAGGGAAAGAAAATATCACTTAGACTGAATTAAGCATATACTCACAATATATCAATGTCAGTCCAGTTCCCAATAAATTCAGGTATCTTCCCTGACAATTGATTCCCATCTATCCTACTGCAATAAGTATTAGAAGTTCATGAATGTTTTAACTCCAAATAGTAAAATATTTGAAAAATTGTGGCTCATACTTCACTAACAACTTCACTTACAAGTCAGTTAAGCTCTTTAAATTGCCAAATGTATCTGGTATCGCTCCTGTGAAATTGTTTGCAGAAAGAAGACTGCCGGAGTGACAAGTAATTGGTTGTCAAGTTTGAAAAAAGCAGCAAGTAATAGTAAACTTACAAGTACATGGAAAAAATGAAAAATAATTGAATATTTACGAAAATGAATTTCAAGAGAAAATGAAGAAAGCAGTCATACAGTCTCTTCAAGCTCCTCAAATTTCCAAGGTTTGGAGGAATATGTCCTCCAAGCAGATTATCTTCCAGTACCCTGCAACATACATCTCAAGTTGTAAAACAAAAGTTGAAGAAAGAAAAATAAAAAGCGTTTTTATCATAGATATGTATGTTCCATCAAATTTTTAATAAAAAAAAATATTATTCTGCAACTCTTTGTTAAACAAATATAACACTGTAACTCTTTGTTGTAACTTACAGTTCCTCCAGTGTAGCAATGTTGCCAATTTCCAGAGGAATTGAACCACTGAGACGGTTTGCCAAAAGGGATCTAAAGGCATAACAGCAATCACAAGTTGGACAAGGATAACTTGTTTCTAAATAAATAATGGTTTATTGCAGTATGAAAGGGACTTTAACTGATCAAAATAAAAAGAACTTACAGAATGCGAAGGTTAGGGAGCCGTGCAAGACTTGTTGGGATTGTTCCATTGATATAGTTACGAGTCAGATCACTGTCCATTACAAAATGTTTCACATTCAACATTAAAGTTAAAGGATTACTATATTAGACAACCAATTGAAATCCTCTCTAATTAAGCACATGGTATTTCATGGAAACACATCTATAGCAATAATTTGCATTCACTGCTAAACTCGAATAGCAAGTGAACAATGAATATTTTACTTACAGTTCAACCAGATGGGTAAGATTTCCAAGTTCATTGGGTAGAACGCCAGCCAAGTTCAAACCCTTTAGTTTGCTGCCAAAAAAAGAAATAATATATCATGTGAATTAAAAATAGAATGTAAAAGCTAATAACAATAATTCAATGCCAAAACTCCTCTGCCACTGCAGCACTTGCTATTTATTTTACATTGGAGCTTAACTACCAAATTGAAAGACCAATCTTGACTCTCATTTGTTTGAGTGTTGAATATGAAAATAATGCATCAGCTTCTCACATTCTTGTTAAATTCATTTGTGAGTCCCACATAAATGTGAGGAGCATGTGCATTATTTTCATATCTACTGTGAGTGCATTATTGAATTAGTTTCAGTGCATTGAAGAATTAATTTCCTGTCTGTATAATGAAGGATAAAATATCAAGACTCAAGAGGTAAAAGGATGAAGCACATACATGCTAGTGACATGACAAAAATTGTCATTTTCAAATGAACAGTTACATGTAACAATACTTTGAATTTTGTTAGGGGGGATGATTGTCCAATTCCACTCTGGTGTACCGCAAGACTCTTGAGTAATGGTCCAATTGTTGTTTCTCAATTTTGTGGATATGGTTCGAAGAATTTGCACTGCAAATATAGTTCAAGAAATTTAATGAATTATGCATGACTAGCACAATAATGCAAAATTAAAGCATTCGAAAGCAAGTCATATAATTTATAACTACAAAATTATTAACACCACAGAAAATAGTTCTCACAGTCCAAACAATTTAATGAGTCATAACAAAATAATGCCAAAAGCCTTTTTGAGCATGTCTTAAGTAAAAACAGATACGTTAATAATTATAAGAGTCATGCTATTTCTACTTTCTACTGTACTTATAATTTATTCTACAAAACTGTTAACCCCATCCCAGAAAGAAGACAGTTCTTATACTGTTCGGTGTTTATTCATGCATGTGAAAGTTAAGTTGGTTGAGTAGAGAACTATTGTACCAAATTCATGCCATAAAATAATTTCTTGTGCATATGCAGAAATTGGTAGATTCCCTTTTTATTTATTTATTAGGCTCCAGATCAAAAGTTTAACCTGCATTATTGAGACATTTTTCATACGTCTTTTAGAGTTAATTAGATCACATAAAAATATCTTTGTTTAAAGTTCTAAGATAGCCAAGTTTGACCATGCAGAAAAGGTAGACAAGATCCATACGGTTGTTTATTCCTTTCCACATTGTTACAACCTCAAACTTGTCCTTATCTAATCCTAATTCCTAGCATCTCTTTCTCCTCCAATAATTGACAGATCTTAGAACCCTATGTATTGGAATCCAATGTCTACATGGGCCCATCCGTGCTGTTAAATTTTTCTGCTACAGCTCAGAACAAAACTAAATTAATCAGCAGCGGTTGTAATAATGAGGGCTCGAAAACTATTAACAAGTCAAACTTTCTTTGCCAAGTCAAACTTTGACCTTCACATGGAGTGTGAAAGAAACATACCATAGCCAGCTCGGAAGAATATTAAGTTGACTGTTATGTATGTTATTTTATTTGATCATCTGCTCCTAGAAATGGACCATTCTACAAAAAATAATGAAATGCATATGGATAAGGCCTCAAGTCTACACCTAATGAACTAAGCAGTAGTGAATGGTCCCCGCTTGCCTCATTCAACCAACATATCTACCTACATAAAGCGAACAGTCTAAAAGAGAATTTCTTGTAAAAGAAAGGAATCAATGACTCTACCTGCTACAAGACACGGATACCTTTTTTTTTTTTTTTTTTTTTTTTTTCTGTGTAAAAGAAAGGGAATCAATGGGGACTCTACCTGCTACAAGACACGGATGACCTTTTTTTTGTTTTTTTTTTTTAGGTCTAAGTTTTGGATCGGACAGTTGAATTTCATAAATGTGTTAATAAGTTTAATTCAAAGGTTCAATTACTGTGCTGTGATTAAGAATAGTTTCCTGGCGTTTGATTATAGAATTAAGTTAGATTACTAACAAGGAATAAGCAGGTGGCTCTTCTGAATTAAATTGACAACTATATATATAAGATTTTTTTTTTTTTTTTTTTTTTTTTTAGGTCTAAGTTTGGATCGACATTGAATTTCATAATTGTAATAATTAATTCAAAGGTCAATTACTGTCTGCTGATTAAGAATAGTTCCTGGTTTATTATAAATTAAGTTAATTACTAACAAAATAAGCATGCTCTTCTGATTTAAATTGACAACTATATATATAAGAATGTGATAATTAATAGCGAATATTATTCAATATGAATAATAAAGAACAATTAGTTGGCATTGCCGACATTGATTTCACTATCAACATGTGTTATGTTTTATACGATTATTTTAATAATTTTATCATGATTTTATATAATTTGAAACCACAACCAAAACTAGTAAGAGTAAATGTTAATTAATTAAAATTTTAAGAAGTCAAACACAACAAAGATAGTAAGGTAAGGTAATCCCATGTTTGATAGCAGAGAAAACAAAAGAAAGGAGAGAAGAACAAATTTTCAGACAATGTTTTCTAGGAAATTCAGATAATATTTTCAAGGAAACTAAAAGACAATTAATTCTATACTGCCTAAATTTTTATCATCGGCTAAGCCTAAGCTTCATTATTCACACAGAAATTATTTTTTTCAAATTCTTAGGAAACAAACAGAGCAGTTCTAATTAGAAACTGCTAAATGCAAAATGGAGAAAAATTAACAGAATTTTTACTCAAAGACAAACTCTTTTTTCTTATTTCTGTCCAATTTATGCAATCAAATCCCAATCATAAAACCAAAAATAAAAATTGACACAAGGAGATCATAAACTTCGGGTTTTCAAACAAAAAATAACTAATAAAGAATTTAGTTTTCCCTTCGTTTCCCCTCAATTTCTCATCAACCAAACGACTTAGGAAACATTAAACACTAAACAAACAAAACCCAGAAAGCAAAATCACTTATTTTTGCCAAAAATGGAAAGAATTATATACACTGTCAGTGATGGATTGATTGTAAGTACCTTCTTCTAGTGGCAGGACTTGAGCCTGTGATCCTAACTCCAAAACAAAGCAATCCAATACCAAAATTCCAAAAATAATAACTGAGAAATTCTTGAAAACTGATTCAACGAACGCCATAACAAAATTTCTTCTCTTCTCTGTACAAAACAGAGAAGACCGAAAGATACTCTTAAAACAACCGAATGTACAAGTAATGGCAGCGACAGTAACAAAGACAAAGATTGAGTCTTTTTGAGAGAGAGAGAGAGAGAGAGAGAGGGTGGAGTTGTTGGAGGGAAAATAAGAGAAAGAAACAAAATGGTTTGGATTTTGGCTTTGATTTTTATGAGAGTGGTGTGATACTGTTGTATCCAAATTATTCTGAACAGGTCAAAACGCAAAAAGGCCAAAGGCATGCAATAATTTTTGAAAGCAAAAAGAAAAAACGCATTAAGAAGACAGTTTATTACAAACCACGGAGATGAGTTGTATGAGACTTTTTTGAATGTAAGGAAATGTTCAAAACTTCGAAGCAACCGACAAGGAAGAATCAAAATTTCCTTTTATTTTTCAGCAATAAAAAATAAAAAATTACTGTTTTAAAATTAAAGGTATTGTAATAAGAGTTAAAAAAAAAAAAAGAAAAGAAATTGAAGAGTGGGCTGATTTAATTGAAAGTTACGTTTTAACGTGCTTGCCATTTTTGTTTTTGTTTTTTTAGTAATAATGTAAAATGAGAGTAAATTAAATATTTGCATCATCAATTACCATATATAGAGTACTGTCGTTTCATTACTTTTGATAATCTTAGGCCTTTTTTTTTTTTTTATTTAGATAACAGTTTTAAAAAATCAATGTAATATTAATTATTTTATTTTAATTTTATCCTTTTTTAGATATCTATATCCAACCATTATTTGTCTTAATTATAATGAATTAATTAAAAGGATAATCTAATCAATTACTTTTATATTACAGAATAGAGATGGTTCAATAATTTTCCTAATTTTTTTTAATTCTTGTAAAAAGTTAAAAGTGTCAAAACTATTGGAATAAAAATAGTACTCCCTCCGTCTAAAAGAATAGTCTCACTTTTTGTAACGAGTGTCCCAAAATAATAGTCTCTTTTTTATTTTGGAAAGTGATCTTTTTGTTAACTTTTTTATAATATCCTTATAATATACTCTATCTGTTTTATTTTAATAGCAATAAAGATGCATTTTAGTTTGTTCTACTTTGCGTGCTCATTTATGATTGTGAGAGTATAATAATAATTTTTGAATTTTATTCATATTTCTTAGGTATTTTGTAGTAAAATTAAATAGAAATTTTTATTTAAACATTCTATCATGTGTTTTTAAAAAATCAAGATGTTCCAATTATTTTCTTAATCATTGTAAAAAGATTAAATATTACTATTAAAGTGGAACGGAGTAGATAATTTATGGCAATAATTAATAAACATAGAATTATGAAATATTTATTCAAATATAAATATAAAGTAATTGGAACATTTGTTAAGATATTAATTTTTTATTGAAAACTCTATAAACAATTTCAAATTTTAGTCAAAAAATTATTAATATAAGGGTATATATGGAAAAAGAATGATAAATATTATGATTGAACTAATTTAACTACTCATTCTTAATGTTTGTGAGAAAAGAACGAGACTATTTTTTTAAAACGGAAGGAGTATTAATTTTTCTTTAAGAGAACTAGGGGATGGAATTTAAATCCATATTAGAAATTACTTGCCTAACTATGGGTGGAAGCCAATGAATACTGTTATTTCAAAATTTTTGTTACCATTTATTAGACTCTTTAATCCTTAAAAATACGAAATTTACGCCAAAAAATTTTAAAAATTCTAAATTTTATTGTCTTAAAATTTGAAAATTTTAGGTCAGTACATTGATCATTTAACTTTATTAGTATTTAAAACTTTAAACTTATTTATAAATTTATATTTTTTTATTTAAAAAAATTAGAACTCGTGAATTTTCAATATACTTTAGCTCCTATATTTTTTACTTTATATTTGATTCCTAAAATTTTAAAATAGCATATTTTAATCATCTAATATATATATATTTATTTTTTGCGTTAGACTTAATGTGTTTCTAATTTTGTCTAATCTTGCTTATGTGGCACTAAACGCTAAAATATTTCATTCTCCAAAGATATTATATTTTCTTACTAAAATAACTTTAAGTTTAAACATTTTAATTATAGAAAATTGTATTAAAATATTAATTGCATCAAACTTGAAGAGTATTACAAAGAAGAATCAAACGTGTGCAATTTACCTTTGCAATTTTTTTACAATAAATGACGAATCAAAACTTTAAAAGTAGTGAACAGTGTTTTCAAAAAGTAAGGTTAGAGGTGAGGAAGCACACATGGATTAGATACTTCTTGAGCCGCCAAGGATGAATGTAAGGACAGCCAGCCAGGTACGGACGGAGGTAATTTCCGCGTCTATAATTAATATGACACGTAAAAGACCTACCATTCAAAGTACATCGGGCCATTAAGGGATTGCCATTTTTTTTTTTTTTTTTCTTTATATACCTCTGGGTTGCAAGGAAAAATCACGTGGCACTCCAAATTTTATGAGAGATCTAATATAATTTTGAGATTACGAATTCTACTAATGCTATATCCCTCTTTATATTGGTAATATTTTTTTTGGTATTTTTAGTATTTATTTATAAGATATTCACTTAATATGTGGTTAGTATAATATTTTAAATAATAATTTTATATTTTTCAACTATTTAATAAATATTTAATTGATTTAATTTTAAAAATTTTAGTATTCAATAAAACAATTTTTGCAAGTTGAAGTATTTAATTTGTACAATTTTATAAATTGAAGTGTTTAATAGATCAAAATAAAAATTGAGGGTGTTACCATGTGTTTTAGGTAAAGTACAATGATTAATTTATGCATTGGATTTTTTTTTATTGAGAAAATTATAGGCCGAATACATAAATTGATCCATGAACTTTATTATTTTAATTTTATGGAACCTTCAACTTTTACTTTGAATCATCAAACACTTTAATTTATAAAATTATACCTATTAAACATTTCAATTTTCAAAATTATTTTATTGAACACCTCAACTTGCAAAATTAGATCAGTTAAATACTTATTTAAGTTAAAATTTATTAAAATTATTATTTGAAAGCCATGCTAATTACATATCAAGTCGATATTTTACAGATAAAAATCAAAATCCCTAAAAATTGATATTAGTGTCAAAACGTATATAATATTACCAAAATTTACAAATTCAACTCAAGTATATAATAGGCCATCTATAAAATTTAGGGTGTCATAAAATTAAAATTGGGAATGGATTTATATATTGATCTGGAAATTATAGATTATTCTCTCTGTAAATTACCTATACACTCATTTTGTCATTTCATCTAATTTTTGCATTATTGCCATCAATTTCTATTCAAAAGTCAAAAACACCCTCTAAATTTTCAAATGCCTATGAACTTGAAATTGCCCTCAAATTTTGAAATGGTTGCAGAAATCTTTTCCTTTTTCTTTTTGTTATTTATACAATGAATAAAATAAGTAGCAATATTTCAAAAAATATAAATAAAATAAAGATGTTTTATTATAAAAAAGGTCAGCAATAATATCATCTAGTTATTTTGTATTTCCATCCAAAATAACATTCATTGCATGAGAGAAGGAAAAGGAGGGAATTGAAGGATTAAAAAACATTATTGTCCATAAAGGTACCCATTCATAAACATCTTTTTATCTATAATATATATAAAAGTATGTACATGGGTGAGAATATTGAGATTACAAAAATGTACTTATTAAGTTTATAGATTAAAAAAATATTATTAAAAATTTTAATTGTATTGATTAAAAAATAATGGTAAAATAATTTTAATTGATGATATTAATTTTCTATTTAAATATAAAATTCTATTGAACAAATTAAAAAATTATATTATATACAATGTAAGGTATATATACAATGTAAGGTATATATATATATATTAATTTTATTGGGTGAAAAAATAAAGACAATTTAATTTTGATTGATTATTTTAATTTTCTATTTAAATCTAAATTCTATTAGATAAAATAAGAAAATAATATTATATACTAAATAACGTATATATTAAATGCAATAAAAATAATTAAAAGTTTTTAAAGAATTGAGTTTGTTCAATAAATTAGTAATTTTTATATCTTTGTATAATTAGATTTGTTTCATTTCATTTATAATAATTATTATTATTAAGTTTTGAGTAAATATAGATATATAAAAGTAACAATAATTACTGTAATATTGGGATGCACAAAACATATGATTAAATTTAATAATGATATATTGCCCTCTTATTGATTGGCTAATAAATAAAATAAGAAATTATTATTTATAAAAAATCTTCAATTAGATTGGTTATATTAATTAAATCCAACAAAAAACTAATATTTAATATTTAAATATTTTATTAGGAAATCTTAGTACTTTAGTTTCCTAATATTAATTGGTAAACCTTCTTATTGCATAAAGTTGATTATTTTTCATGTTAATTTAAGTTACTAAAAAAATCTAAAAACTGTTCAAATAAAACTATTAACAAAATAATCAAATGATTAAAAAATAAATGATAAAATTTGACTGAATACTCACATGACCTGGTCCAATGCCATACAAAATGATCCAACATATTACGAGAGCTAAGAGGCATTCCCAGAATATAATCAACATCCAAAGGTAATAGCCCCTTAATCAAATCTGCATTCCACGACCTTCTATCATGCAAAATCAGGTTTGCCACACTTAAATACTCACAGTCCGGTTGCATAGATGACCGAACAAGGAAAAAAGAACCCCTACACACCCATGGTTGATTCCCAATCCGCCATCACAATCCCTCCCAAAGCACATCAGGAGAACACAAAAGACTCCTCCATGTATACCTCGGATTATGTCCTAAACTGGCATTAATTAAATTCTCTATCTAGGTAATATTTAGCTCTATATTCTCTTTTCAATTTCTACTTTTGTGAAACAAAGTGGCTTGAAAAAAAAAAAAAAAAAAAAATAATATATCCGATTATATGGCCAATATATGACACATTGATGCTTATAATCTTAAAATTCAAATTCAAAATTTATCTTAATATATATATAATAAATAAATATCATAAAAGGTTAAAAAATTCTTTTAAATCTTAAATAATTTTGAATCTTGAACTCTCTCATAAAAATAAGGATTAAATATTCATTACTATTATTATTCAATAACATTACTTTAATTTCTATTATATTTATTAAAAAATAAAAAAAAAAAAAAAAAAAAGGATAATATATCGATTATATGCCAATATATGACACATTGATGCTTATTTTAATCTAAAATTCAAATTCAAAATTTATCTATTAAAATAAATAAGAAATAAGAGTGTACAAAAAGTTAAAAAATCTTTTAAAT